AATTGGGTGGTTGGAAAGCAGTTCTTACAGCGGTTGCAAAAGTTGTCCAGGTGGCATATGGTGGTGTATTATTATTTAAAAGTATTTCGAGTTAACTTTTATTAATTTATAAAGTATAATATTTAGTATTTTAAATTTCTTATAAAAAAAATTTTAAATCATAGAAATGAAATACATAGTAATAGTAATAATAAAAACATACAAATTTTTCCTTATATATTTTTCTTAATTTAAAAACTGTTCACGAATAAACATCTCCTGCCTCTATCACCACAACTGCATCCGCAATGAATTATTTTCCCAATGTGATGGTTGCAGAAACACCATCACGTCCCTTAATTCAGAATAATTACTTGTTAACACCAGAGTGCATTTTATCTCCCTCCATAGCTCAGAAAATTCCTATAACAACACCATTAATATCTCCTACCACAATTGTCTCGCCCGCAACTACCGCAACTATGTCTACTGCAACATCATCAGATTTATCAGAAACAAGCTCAAGTTCATCGTCATTGACACCATTATCGCCATCACCATCTTCGTCAAGAACAAGAACAAGAACAAGAACAAGAACGACACGATCTTCTTCAACTTCTTCAGTTTCTACTTCTGCAACGACAACAACGATAACTCCACCAAGTCCGTATCAATATCCAAATCATAATTGTGATGATCCAAGCTATTTACCGAAAGTAACTAACCCAACTGACGATGAAAAACGTCGACGTAACACATTAGCATCGGCAAAATTTCGTAATAAAAGGAGAATGAAGGAACAAGAATTAGAACGTATAGCTAGGGAGATGACAGAGAAAGCTGAATTTCTTGAGTGTAGAGTTAAAGAACTTGAGAGCGAAGTTAAGCTATTGAGAGGTTTAATTATTGATATTGATTCTAGTCGATTAAATGGTTCAAGTCATAATAATCGTCCAATTAACATTGGCAGTGATAATGATTCAATCTCTAGAAATAATCAATTATCAAAAAATATAATGATTGATGATGATTATATTGATGATAATAATAGCGATGGTGTTGGTAATAGTCGTGTGGCAACGACAACAACTAACATTTTCTAAAAAAAAAAATTTCAATAAATTAATAATCGAAAAAAATTTATCCGTAATAATAATTCTATTTTTCATTTTGTT